TAGATGGCACCGCTGCATGCATTCCCGCATGCATACGAGTCTTACATGAGTTTGCTCCCGCGTGGGCCTTAGGGTGTCCTGGCAGCTGAAAGCAAATATTGACGGCCTTGTGTCTACATTTCCTACCATCAGTCTATGGGTGGAGGAGATCGTATGCACTTTTCACCTAGACAGAATGTGCTACCTCCCTCTCTCTGGAATGTTGAGCCAAAAGGAATTGTGTAGCAGTTGTTCTACATGTATCGGTATTTTAGAACCGGACATTTGGCAAGCATCTGAGAATAAACGCATCCTGTTAAGTAAGGTTTATAATCTCACTCTTTAGTAATTTTTAATTTAGTAAACCATACTTACCGTCCAATAGCAATTTTTAGTTGTACTTAGAAGGTACCAATATAAGCATTGCTGTACGAAAATGATTTTGTTAAGGTGTAGCACCCCGCGACTTCCCTAAAGACGAAAAAAGAGGTGATACTAAGTAGAATGTATATTGCCGACATGCACAATGGATGGGGGATTACCCACCTGGCTAGTCGGACATGGCGCCCAGCAGAAGTGCAGAAGCGGAGTCTTAAGCGTCTTCGAAACCAAAACTTAATACCAATTAGTCAGATGAGGCAGATTTCAGTATGGGTGAATTCCGCCTTTAATACCTTATCTGGAAATGGTCGAGTGGGCTTTCATTAATGCGCGTTTCGATTCTTACCACCCAGAGATCATTCAATAATTACGTCCAGCTTTCCCAGCAATTCTGACTGATACTGTTGTCGGCTTTGCTTTAGACGTATTTTGAGTCAATATGCTCAGATAAATATAATTTAACTTCTCAAATCTTCTAGGCTCGGCTTTTTTCAAGTATTTCTCGCAACAGTTATAATAACTAGTCATCATGGAAGTGCTTCATGCAGAGTACAATACAGTATTGAGTTTTCTATAGGCGAATAATAATGATATTATTTGACGACTGTTTAGCGAGGAGCAGAAACAATTTCGCCTCCTTTACATTTGAAGGCACAGTGTTTCGTGTGATTCATGGCTTTACGTGGAGCTAACCCAATTGCCTACTTCGTTGTCATTCCACGCATTCTACAGAATTCCGACTTCACTCAGCGTTTTGGAAATTATATGGCTTAATAATTTAGGTTTATTCGTGCGATGCATTGAGAAGAACCGGCTAGAGGTTCGTTATCCAAAGTAGATTTACCTGCTGTCTTGGACCAAAACCCATAGCTCGAGCTGGTCTGAAAGAGTAGAGAATTTTGTCAATGCAGCCCCCATTGTAGCATATAGCAGTGAAATGATTTGACCGCATAGACAGTTCCGTCTCTACAGGTCCTCCGACAATATCAATACTCTCCCAACCCTCCTATGGGTTAATTAAGGGCTTTCCTTTACAATGGTACCCGTTCTTACGGTTTTGTTTCAAATTCTGCACCCTACTACTAGTGTGTGTCTTGCAAGTTAATTAACCTTATTTAATCGTCTTTCTTTATCAGTAACCCTGTATCAACTCCCTATTTTATTGTTGTTGTCGTTATCTCCTCTGCTTTTATTATTGAAGTCCATTTAAAAATGGATGACTTTATCCGAAAATTCGCACCTAATACTCTTTTAATACATAGTAAAGGCTAAATTTTTGCAGAGAAAGTTTAGATTTCACCTAGCATGGATAGTGTATTACGGGCACGTTTGATACCTGACTTTTAATAAACCCAACCATTTCTTCCCCATTGCATATTTTGATACCTTAAATGAGGCATCTAAAGCCATGTACATTGCTTAAGAGTATTCTGGTGCCTCAAGACTTCCCTGAATACGATTCAAGGCATAAATCAGGGGCAGAATATGCATTATCAACGTACAGAGGAACTGGGGGTGACTGGTATGGCCCGGGGCCTGTGCCTCCCCCAGCAAATGTACAATCAGGAAGCCTTAAGTGCCCGCAAAACCAAGAGAGTTGAGCAATTAATCGAAATATTACACAGCCATCTACCTCCTTATGAGCGTTGTCCGCAGCCCTACATTTGGTACCTTCAATGTCGGCCATTATACCGTAGTAGCACAGTGATGAAAATAAGTCACGAACCAACCGCGTGCGACTGACAATTCTACTGAATTTGGAGTTCTATCTTGTTTGGGAACTGTATTGGGGTTGGAAAATGTGCAGACTACCATGTATGTTTATGCTGGTCCCAAAAACACTGGCCCAAAACCACCCAGTAGGGACAAGGTTAGAATAGTTTCGTGGGGGTGGGGTCACGCGTCTGTTTCTTCTTTCCACTTCGTTCTCACTCCAGTGCTGCCCAGCCATATCTTTCTGTATGGGTTCCATCCAGTTAGTGGGAGGTGGAGGAGGCATTCCCTGTTCACTTCATTAACATTTTCATACAGGTGCCGTAGACAGTTGGTTTACGTCTAGTGTAGCTCCATTTGTTAACAGCATTCTTGCAGGACGGAAGACTGAAGTAGTTGACGAAGGTGAAAGTCCTTATCAGCCAATCTGTCGAGCCGTCACAGATTCTCCCTTTCGCACCATGTATCCTTCTTCCATCTTGTTAATGTTTAACTGTCAGTAATAGAAATCAGGGTAGCTGTCGTTTGGGATCGGGCTTATCTTTCGCTGCCGCCAAGGAAGATTTGATAATAAAGCGAAATACGTAATGCCAAAATTACATAGGAGATGGAGGCTACTGGCATGGTCCGGAGACCCTGTCGCCCGGGGGACATATAATCGCGGGACCTTCAGCGTCCACAAAACCAAAACGAAGAGTTAGGCAAATCATCAAAGTATGAAGATGCATTCTGTTACACGAATGTTGTATAGGGAACTGCTGACAGGATTTCGCCTCTTAGTCATTTTTGCACAAAAATCCCAAGTCTTTGAACTTTTGCCCACGGAAACACATTCTGCAGACATGATTTACTGCCATCGAAAATAATGTCATTTGCAGGTCTTGTTTATTACTTGGGCAAAATTTAAAAACACAAATCTTTTTTCGTTACCTTAGGGAAAATTGTGCAAAAAACTGTTTGATATCTCAAAGATTGCATTAGCAGGAAATATGAATGTAGCTAATAGTTTCAAATTTTCACTGTGCCAAAAGACTCACTTTTTGCTGCGATTCTTCATTATTCAAGCCATGCAACAGTCAGTTCTCTATAATGCCAGCTTATTATATCTGTTCATTGGAATGTACTATAACCATTTAGTTGTTTGTTTGCATCTTTACTTTGGTTTCGGGGTCATTAAAGACTTTGTGCTTGTATTTTCGCTGATCGGCATGACCTTTGCACTATGTCAGTAGCCCTCCCCCCAGCCCCTCTCCACGCCGCCAAAACAATTTCCCCCTTCCCAAGAGTATTATGGCTTTTTTCGTCTTTAGGAAAGTCCAGGACCGCTACAACACAATAAAGTCTTAGGTTAGGAATGGAAAATTCCTTGCATATTATGCGGATAGGCCTGCTAAGGTAAGTATAATGTCACTGTGTTAAGATGCGCGATAATCCTTCTTCATGGCCTAGAATGAAGGCGTTTGAGGAAATCGCTAAATCACTTTTAGAAGTTCTTTTTATTGCAGCATTGCAATGAAACCTTAGACAAGCAATTCTTTTGTATAGGAGATCAGTTTCTACAGTACCGATGCTGGTCCTTGTCATTCCGGAAAAAGAAATACGGCATATTAGAGGAGAAGGTTTATTGTTGACACAAAAGGGCTGTTGAACTGTAATGACATAAATGAGGAGCTATAACTCGAGGGCAACAACTAAAAACATGGCGAGGTGGCAGAATCTAGATATCCAAACGTGCAACTTACGCAAATGGCAATCTGTGATACACCTTATATAGATCAGTCAAACGTTGTCATTAACAAGCTTCGTGGCAGGACATTCATCTCTTTGGGTGCTCTAATGTAGGCCTCCCACTCTAAGGATATGAGCAATGCCAAGTTACTCCTCCACAGTAAACACAACTTAGTCACTACTTGGCCATTCTTTGATTAGGATCAAAGGTCAATCTACAGCTAATTCCTGCCTTATCGAATGTTAGCAAGACAGTGTTTAGCAAACGTTAAGGCTGTCGGTGTACCATGGCGTTTTAGATAACGAGTGTTGTCATAATGGTGACTGCTTACAGCGATGTGTCCGCCTTATTTATTGCAACAAGAAGAGTGCCCAGAGCATTCATTCGTGTCATTCAGACTGTCAATTTTACATTCATGACGGGAAGATTCCTTTTCACTGGAAACACAAGGCTGTCGTTTAGCTACTAATCCACTTCTTTACTTCTTATCCGTGGGCAATTTCGCATTTTTGTCAAAATTATTTCCGACGCAGGCACTTCCAAGCCAATATAAGGTAAACCTTTGTGTCGAAAAATGTCTCCTTTTTCACCGCAGAATGTCACTTTGTGAAAGGATGGGCAGTGGGAATGGTTGAGGACGTTATATTTTACCCAGTCTAAATGACCTTTAAGTTGATTATCAGGAGACACATTCTAGTGTATTGTGAATTTTGGTATTACAGACTTGCAATGTGTAGCATGGAAGTATTCAACCCGGTTTATGCTCGTTAAGCCTTTCAAAACTGAGACAAATGCCATCTTATGAGAGCTAATAGTAAACATGTAGGACCACTGGGTTTAAGAAAACTGTTAATCTGTGTGTTTTTAAGATGGACGCTTGCAAATTTGTTGGTGAATCGTACGCTTAAAACACATCAAGAAGCAATCAACGCATTATCCTAGATCATCCCTTTTCTGGAAATGATAAACATGTGGCAAACTACTAAGGCGCCCCCAACGAAATTGCCTGGTTATCCATGTGGTTTCAATGTGAGTTACCGTAGTCTGTGTCTCCAATCTCCAGATGCCGACTCCAACCCATATCGAAGTCCCATGTGTTCCATATGGCCAAGGTCCTGTAAGCTGAGGCACTTCTGCTTCCAATAACGTAGCTGATACCAAGATCCGGACCAGGTTTAGTCTTTAAACTGATGTGTCTCTATGGTTCAATTATTAAACACTTTCTGTGTAATTTTCTTATGATAGGAAAATTCTGAATTAATGCAAAATCTTCTAGTTGATCACCATTTATTACCTTCATATCGTGACAGCGAAAAAGTTCCAGTGTCACTTCTTCTCTGATCCTTAAATTTTGCATCAAGCTAATGTGTTTGACCTAAAGTTCATTCAGCGAGGGTTATCATTGCCCTTGGCTCTTTCAAATAACCATCGTGACCTCGTTAAGCTCCGACATTTGGACCGTCACCCTTGGCTAAAACATTTAACGCATTCCCTTAACTCTATATTACCGCTTGACCTTCCTCCTCTGCAATTAAGACGTCAGTGAACCACTTCATTAGTAGTTTAGTAAACGCTTCCTCTAGTGGAAGAAATGTTTGAGCAATTCACACTCTACTTAGGTTGCCCAATATGCAAGTGGATTTTAGATTTTACCGTTCAGAACTAACTTCGACTTCATTTACCTAAAATCTACTTCTTCGACGCTCTTTTTAGAATTTTGTTAACTGGATAACAGATTGATTCCTTACTAACTCAATACGCCTTTGCTATATCCTGTCCTGTTGGCATTTGTGTATTTTTCAGTAGTAAAGCCACTTCTTTAGGTCCGACCTGATCGTTGATTCTGGAGGGAAGCCTAAGTCGCTGCGATGGCAAAGAGCCAGTGGGAAATTATCCTCGACCTTGGAATTCCAATCGCCCACCCGTCAGGATGCCAGGAATTCTTCCTCCCTAAATGCATGCCCTCTCCCTGTCCCTCCCCTCCCCCCACCCAACGTGTGGATAACTGTGTCATCCTGTTTTGCTAGCTGATTCAAAATTTTTCGCATCATTTAAAGTGAGAGATGGAAGGACAAGGTTTTCCGTTAAATGGTTTTGATTCCTTGCATACTCCCCATTAGTTGTGGATATTGCTAACGTCCTTACTTCGGAAGTTACGATTGTCTTGATAAGTGATCCTCGAAGGTAAATTGTTAATGAGTTTTCCCAGTTAATAAATCCTATTTAGACCCCTTACTATCTTAATAAGTGCGCAATCCAGACCAATGTTTTGTGTCATAAGTGGAATGAACCGAGTATTGATATGAAGATAATGAGGAGAACCGTAGTAGCATGACTCTCCTTCGTTTGTTACCTAAATTTTTCAAAAATAGAAGAGGTTTTTTATATGGATAGTCCTAATGAGGACATTTCTACTCACAAATAGGAACGCCTGGATATTTTGGACACCAATTCTACCCGTTAAAGAAGGTTTTTAGAAAGAGCCTCACAAAAGTTTTAGCTGAGCTTTGCATAAATCTTGAACTATTCAAAATTTGAATTCCTACATATTTGGGTTTTTATGTAATATTGTATTTAACAGAGACTAAAAGTTATTTAAATGGGGATTACCAAGATTTAAAATCTCTTTCTAGGTGTCAAAGTACTGGGGCCTGGGAATGTGGACAGCGGTGTGATTTGAAGCTCCGTGGGCACAAGACCCCAACACGCATTCAGGTTCACTTTACAAGCCTTTTTTTAACAAGACGTAAGACCTTACCATGTCCATAACTCGTGACCAATGAGAATGGCGCTAGGTAAGTGCTTATAGATGGAAAAGGCAGCTAAGAAAAAAATTCACTAAATAAGTAATTATTAATATGTGCTCAAAATATCGGAAATTGGGCAAATATCTTTAAGCATAAATGTAAAGATGTATGTGTTAAGTTTCATTGCTTAACTCTTCACTCCAGTCACGCTGGAACTAAAGGGCACAACCATTAAACGTTTGTCCGGCTGCATGACCTATGGGCTTATGGCCATGCCAGTTGCCTCCTCCCACCCCATCTGTACTTTGGCAATACATTTTCTGCCCTAGTATTATGCCTGCTTTGGCCCTTAGGGAAGTCTTAGGGTATGGTAATAGTGGCAGTGGAAAGTGAATCCTAAAAAACACCTACCCTGATTTTCTTATCTAAATACTAAACTTAAATGTGACGGAAGGAGCACGTACGTTGAGGATGGGGAAAATTGTGATGACCCACAACAGAAGGTTGAAAATGACATCCACGCTCGACAACTACCACAGTCCCGTGCTCTGAAGGAAAGTTACTGATAACTGAAAAGACACCAACCGAAGCCGTAAACCACAGGGACATTTTCTTTACGGAGCTGTTTACCGTAACTGCATAAAGATGTTATTGAAGTGAGCATACGACACCTCCTCCTCCTTCCTCTAGCTCAACGAAACAGATAAATGTGGCTGGGCAGCACTGAAGTGAAAGTAAAGTGGCAAGGAGGAAAAGATGCGGAATCTTTCACCCACAAAACCATTTAAATCTCGTTCTCTATTAAATGGCTGCTTTTATGGCAGTCTTCTTACTGCTAGTGATGGACATGCCTCATGGCCAACATATTTTCCCTTCCATCAATGCAGCCGTCAAATAGGTAAAACCTCAAATCCAGTGAAAATGTCAAGACGGGTCAGTAACATTGTAGTCGAATACTCTTTCAGTCGCAAAGGAATTCAACGACTGGCGCGGTTGATTTTTGCGTGTCTTTACCTCCAGCACCGACTGTGTTGTGATGGTCCACTCGGAAGGCTTTCTAAGGATAGCGCCGGGGATGGCCCTTAAAAGGAGAGAGAGTCTGTAATGGCACAACTATTTTTTAATTCCTAGTTTTGGTTTTGCTGGCACCTAATGTTCCGCTCTTGTACTGCCTCTAAACGGCATGGAATCTAGGCTATGCCAGTAGCCTCCAGCCCTTCATTACGTCGGTAGTACATATTCTGCTCAAGTATTATGCCTTCTTTTGTCTTTAGGAAAGTCGGGTGAAGCTACAATACTTCTTGGACCAATCTTCACTTTTACTAACCACGAAAAATACTTTTTAACAAGTCGTTTTCGTGCCTCCTCATTGAACGTATTCATGCGCAAAACACGTTTTAATTTCTCCCCCCGAATAAGGCTTGGTTTAGTAATAAAGCATAAATAGAAATCACATACAGAATTGAAGTAGTTTTCCGAAAAATTAACTAAAATGGTGTTTTCGAGAGATAGTAAGGTGACAAAGTTTGCGGACTTAAGCCAATTACCACAGCACTTGAATTGTTGAACAAAGAACGATAAGGCAAAATGTTTATGTCACTCTCCTCACGAGAAAGTGTATACATAAAAATTAACCAAACTTTACTTACGAATTATTTCTGCTACTAAGTTCTGGAGATTTTTTACTAATAAGCAACTATAGAGGTAATTCAGATTTTTGTGCTCCTATTGCAAGAAAAGAGAAGAGACTCTAACTGACTTTAGTATAAGAAAAGGCTTCGACAAATTCCGACGAAAAATCGTCTTGGCGAAAAAAAGGAAGCCTAACCTATTTCATATTGATAAAGAACTATTGAGGCTTCAACGCACTTACACCAGAAGAGTTCGAACCCACACCAATTGTAAAAAGTTACGTTCATAAATCCACATTGCTTCACAATTAAAATTTTGCCTTCTTCTTGGGGCAAAATAAAGTATCATAGCACACCCTTCGTTATGGGTTCTTGTGCGACTAGCCTACGGGAAACAAATTAAGGTTGTTTATCTTTTCTTTCACACGAATGCGCAACCCCTTCCGCCCTGATTCATCATTCGTTTGTAGGGCAATGTCCACCAAGAGGTCCCAAAATTCACGAGTTTTCTCCTTACTTCTTCACCCACCTTATAAGTGTGTACGGTTAAGGGATTAGCAGAAGGCCTTCTCTACGACCTATTTATGCTATGGGATACCGTTTTATTGTCAGTTTTAACTAATGAGTAACCCTCAGTTTCGCCATAGTAAAACAGTTGCGTAGTTATTGGCTAAAAATCTATGGCGAATCTTAACACAGGTGAGCTTATGTAGTTCTAGTTGTCATCATAGAACCATAAAGTGGGTCCCTAGGATCCTTTAGACCCCACAAGTTCTTAACTCGTATATTCACTGATATAATTCACGTTTCGGGACTCATGAAATGGTGAGTATGCCACTTCTGTACAGTCAGTAATACCATAATTACGTACTGGTATTGCGAAACCATTCGAAGGGCGTAAAAAGTGTAACTTTAATACCCTGATTGTTTGTCCAACTCTCCATTTCGGTCGCTAGAGCATTTGAGGCATCAACATTGTACTTCCACTCAGTGCCATGGCCTTTGAACCATGCCAGTAGCACCCACCCCTCCTCTACATCGGCAAAGCGTTTTCTGTCTTCTTTCGTCTTCAGGGAAGGCCAAGGCTGCTACATCGGTGGCAGTGGAAGGTGAACCCAGTCCCAAAGGAAAGCCACCCTGGTTGCTATAACTGGGCGCTAAACCTTAATGTGACGGAAGAAGATCACATGCTGCTAATGGGAAAACCTGTGACGGCCTTAATGCAAAGTCCAAAAATGACGTCTACCTCCGGCAAATACAACAGTGGAAACAGTGCTAACAACTGAAGTGACACAAGCCGTGGCCCAGAGCCATCTTAACAAATACATTATGGAGCATCCACGATACCTGTGTGAAGATGCCAATGAAATGAACAGGCAACACCTCTTCCACCTCTCTACTAGCTAGAGAGAGCCTAGACAGTAGATATGGTTCTACAGCACTGAAGTGGAAGCAAAGTGGCAAGGTGAAACAGGAGTGGTATCGTATCTTCTTGATTCCATTTTAGGTCCCATTTCTCGGTAAAAGACTCGTCTTTTAGGCAATGATGGACATACGCGATGGTCAACACATTCCCCCTTCCCCCAACATAGTTTCCAAAAAGGACGACCACTGTAGTTGATGCTATGGATGAGAAAAATTCCACTGAATAAATAATGATTCAAATGCAGCCAAAATATTAAAAATTGAGCATATTTCAGTAAATATAATTATAAAGACGTAGGCCATTGCCATTTTTACTTTCCCAGAAAAAAGTACATCTATAAAATAGCTTTCCTCGTTGACAGTTTGACAGGTTAGGGGGGATGAATAATGCATTCAACTTTAGCGGAACAGAGTCCTCTGCATACGATTTAGGCGTTTCTTGGGCCAGTAGAGTAGATGAGGACACGAAGGATGTTCCATTTAACATCCCTGCTACCCAAAATAAATTGCGTAAATTCAGTAGTTGAAAGGTAGACAAGGGTTAAGCAAACCTAGTCACTGTTAAGTGCCTTTCAGGACAGGAGATGGAGCGTATCTCTCGTTTATACAATACCTCGTTTACATGAAATAGTGGAGTTTAAATTGTACAAGAAATGGATAATGTTCATTGGAATAATATTAAGAAAAAAGATTTGTTTGTTGAAAACTTCACCATACTTCCCTAATGGTGTTTGAACGATTCGATGTTGCTTACGTTGTAGGTTTTTCTTTAAATCTATTCTTACCTGATCTACCCCCTTAAATGTTTATTTTTTTAAATAGTTTTAAAAGTGCTTAAATCTCCGTGAGGGATATGTAACATGCATAAACCTTAACATCGCCTTTTCATAGGAAATATCAAGGTTTTGTTAAAATCGGGACCCTCAGACAAATCTCCCTCTCGTCCTTAAAATTATCGCACATTTACTTCGCATTTTGACCTAATCTTTTAATTAATTTCATTGTTTTATGCCAAGTTAATTAACTGACTTTATTTACACTAACTTATAAACGCTTTTAAGTTCCTGTTAATGAGGCATGTAAATGAGCCTTAAGAACCAGGCTTTCGCCATCCCACTTTACTAGTGACAGCATCTGGCAGGTTGATCCATGTGCCAGCTGTTCCTCATCTGGAACGAGTTTCCCTAACCACATGCCCTCCATAGCTGATCGAGATCAAAGAAATGACTGACTTTTTTGGTGCTGGGCGGCAAATTACCAGAGCATTCTGTCCTTCTTTGAGGCCTCTTTGCATCAAGGTATACTGCTTCATGCCCCGAAGAGTAGCAGTAATTTCGGAGGGGGGATTGGGGAAAGAGGGGAAAATTAAGCGGACTTTTTGCCCAATTATTAGAGATTACCTTAAGTGCGCGGCTAATTTCAATGCTGTACTTTTCGTGCCAGCTAACTAGTCAACTGTAAATGCATTCATTTGGAGTAAATCGGTCCATTCTCTCCTCTTGGCACCATAAAAGTTGTTACATCTTATACTTCACTTCTATTTGGCCGCAACAACTTCAACCCGAATAGGTGTCATTGTCACTACGACTGTTAGCTTCTTTTACCACCTTCCACTGCTTTAATTGCTAAAAATATGGCACTCAACAAGTTTCACTACCAGTACAAGGGATTATTTCCCCTTTGAATGCAATTCTTTTGTTTTCATTGTGTAATCCCCAAAAAGTTACAGAAAGTCCTACTTCAAGTGAAGTTGACAGCAGCAGCAGCAGCAAGCGTAGTTTAACGTTCTTTAAGGTGGAAAAACGACGCGGATTGAGGTCAGTGGATGAATAAGCAAAAGTGCCGCATAAGCAAAATGAAACACAGTTACATCCTGCTTCTAAATGTAACATTACAAGCCCTCTTCATACAGTCGCAGCAAGTGTGATTTAGGTTAGAATGGAGGGAATGGTGCTTTAGACGCCAAGTACGTAGGTCATCTTAATGTACGTACACTTCATTTGATGGTCCACTTCGATCGCCAACTCCCAAAGGCCAACCCTCCCGGTCGACCGTTTTTAGAAGCCATCTGCATGCATGCTAGAAATAATGGCATTTAAGGGGCTGGGGGGCATCCCTCCGAAGTGCTATATAACACAGTGATGGCACTGGGTGGGTGTGCAAGTGTGTATACTCGGGTCTTTCGCGCACAGCCATTGGGTGACCAATGGGCGACGAGCTACCCATCGATTGCCCCGCGGTGTCACGGTTGTGCATGCCGGAACGCGCAGCAGCGCTGCGCGGTGTGATCGTGGGTGCGGTTTTATCGATTGGCAGTAGAACGGGCAGTGTTTTGGAGCGATTGGCCAATGGGAGAGGAACGCCGGTTTCTGATAAACTCTAGTATTGGCCCAGCTAACGGGCAGATTGTACGCGTTCGGGCAAACAGGCAGACGTGCACGCCACCACACTTCATCCAGGACTCGTTCTCGCTCTCCAACTTTTGCTCCCTCTGCAACGGTTTGTGCTCTTCCACTAGACTCGAACCGTGTATCACTTTCGAATTATCCCTGTGACTGCTTCAACTGGAAAAGGAGTTTTCTAAGCGGTCGCAGTGAATTGAGAATTTGGTGCCTTTTCTGATTTTCGAATCTACTCCACGCACACAACTGATCTGTTGCGCATTTGCGCTGATACACCACAAAAACGGGACCTATTAGAGACGAAGATATGTCTGAATCACACGTCAAGATTTCTCGCACCATCATACGTGGAACTTCTCCAAGTACTGTGCGACTTGAGGTACGACATTACCACATCTTTCATCTCACACATACTTGTGCTTTAAAAATCCTTTGCGCACTAACCGACTTTAAACGCAAGATAACGGCACCTTAATTCCACGTGTCTAGCAGCTCGTTTTCTTCGTGATTTTGGATACTCAGAATAATAACTAGTCTGGCAATGTGAAATAATGACAACCAAATGTAGACAACATGGGATTATGGACACCCAACCGGCCTAATTACCGATTAGTTACTGCCATTCCGACCTAACGCAACGCATTATTTATAACCACTTTATTCTAAAAACGAAATCAAATCGCCTGATCCGAGAGACCAAATTTATTTCGTTTACTATTCTTAAGAGCCACAAGATCTCACAGTAGCCGGTAACACAAGGCTCCAAAATGTGTAATAAAACTTGGGAGTGATGATTTTATGGTACAATATGCCGAGTTTATTCCACTCTTTTTCCTTAAGAGTCGCGTACGAGAATTGGAGGACTTGCTCGATCTCGAACGAGATGCACGTGTCCGGGTATGAACTTTCGCTTGTCATTGATAGTTTTACTGGGATTTGGTTACATGTGATATGAACGGGTCCGGAAAGCCATCAAAAAATTCACGACCTACCCCCATATTTTTTACCGTGGCTTCAAGATACCATCCACTTGGCTTTTTATGCGAATAAATGGACACTGATAGGCTTTAGCAAGTATACATTACCTTTGGAATAAGCACTAGTAGACAGGCATAAGCTCGTGCTTGGTGGCACATCGAATTCATTTATTTTTTTCTCCTCCAAGTCTGAACGCAATGCCAACGAGCTGAGTATTCAGTTGGACACCATGACTGAGCGCCTTGACGAGTTGAGTGGTACTTCCTCTCAGACTGTAAGTTGGGCGAATTAAAAGTTTTAAAACAAAAATTCATGTAATATGTGATATCCCATTTATTTGATCATAACTTAGTATAAACCAAGTTTCAAGGTCGTTTAGCTGTTAGTAGTACTAAGTTAAATCCAATGCCTTGTTTGGGTGAGCAAAAGGCCTGTACTTAGTTTTGCAACATTTGCCTCAGTCCAGGCAGCTAATATGAATGCCTGCGCATACGGGACAGCCTATGAAAGTGCGCATGATCAAACACTGCCACATTCGGGCGAGTTTTGCACGATGTTGTGTGCACTGCCAAAACATCCATAAAGGTGGAAATGTTTTCAGACACACAGGATGGGCTGATTATTAGGAGCACGATGGGTGCAGATGTGCATCTTGGAAATTCATTGACGAGGGAATTAGGTGTGGACTCGGTGGGTGACCTGAATATATGGAAAATAGTTACCATGGGCAGTCCTTGCTAGCTTCTTAGGGATTGGAATAAGAATGGGGTTCTAGAACTGATCAAATTACTTTGTTTAGTCTTTGTTAAGTCCAGAATTTCAGATTGCTTTGAACTCATTATCTTCCAGTCTTGGTAATACCTCTACAAGTATGTCAGAGCGTTGAAATTGAAATTGGACGTGGTAATTCGGAGCAGTAGGGGGGATCCTGTCCAATCTATCCTACCGACATTTTACTAAAGTTCCACTCGCAATGTGAGGATGAGGTTCTTCATTTTGAGCCTTGTCCTTCCAGTGATAGATCAATGGATAGGCTGTAAGCTATGTAGAAAGCGTTCTCTGAACCTGTTTTTTTCCTCCAATGTCCTGCAGCAAGATGCCATTCGCCGTAAGGATATGGAGATTGCGAAGCTGCGTAAGGATCTGGAGAACGCCAACGCTGCTTTTGAAACTGCCGAGGCCACTCTGCGCCGCAAGCACAACACCATGATCTCCGAGATCTCCAGCGAAGTTGAGAATCTTCAGAAGCAGAAGGGCAGGTAAGCCTTTCTTTCCACTCCCTGCCAGGGATCCTTCAAGGCAGTAACCAAGAATTTTGATCTATGAAAGCGATGTGGGCTCACATCCTGGAGTTGAGCGAGTTGGGGCTTAATCTCTAGCATTAATTTGTCCATTCATCATCCAGAAGCTGCAGTGAAAGTATTGCTGACTATTCGCAAATGCGCTGAACGATGTTTTTTAAGGTTTCCGAGTGTTTTTGAAGATATAAAACCCACTAATCCGGAAGGAGCTCTAACACTAATGTGTAATGGGGCTGAGGGGCCACTGACATGGGTAGTGTTAACAGAACTACACGCTACCGGGGTAGAGATGGGGAATTTCTGCGTAGCCAGATATGAAACGGGACATGAATTACTACAGCTGGTAAATTCTGATTTTTTTAGGGCGGAGAAGGACAAGAGCCAACTCATGCTTGAAATCGACAACGTTCTTGGTCAACTTGATGGTGCCCTTAAGGCCAAGGTAATTTTCCTTCCTTTTGTGTAAAATTTTCCTCTTGAACGAAAGTAAGTCGATCTCAAGGTACCATTTAATTCCTCTTTAATTAAACAGAAAGCATAGCCAAACCCACTTCTAATGCTACTGTAATTCATGGTGAAAAGTACAACTGTAGTTAATGGGTATTATGGCGCCAATTCGTCTTTCAAGGCGTTGAACGAGTTTGGAAGTAGCTTCATCATCAGCGTCTTGAATGATCAGGGGAATAGTAACGGAATTTCATGCCGCACAAGTGAAACTGAAACAAGTCAATATTTAAACAACTGTTGTTTTGCATATCAATTCAGAAATTTCTACAACTAAAGACCTAAAGCTGAAGAATGCAAGATTCAGGAGTCTGACCTTTGCGGGTACTATTTCGCCCGTTGTATTACTGCTTAAACAGATTTGATGCACTGCTATTGTTGGCACCTCGGTTTTAGGCCTCGGCGGAGAGCAAATTGGAGGGCTTGGATAGTCAGCTAACGCGCTTGAAGGCGCTGACCGACGATCTTCAACGCCAAATGGCCGACGTTAATTCGGCTAAGTCGCGTTTAGCCGCAGAAAACTTCGAATTGGTTCGTGTGAACCAGGAGTACGAGGCACAAGTTGTCAACTTCTCCAAGACAAAGTCTGTCCTCGAAGGCCAGCTTGACGATCTTAAACGCGCCATGGATGAGGATGCACGCGTAATTGGCAGTCCATACGTTGACATTTGAAAATTACGATTCACATCCTTCTATTGTCTTGCTTGGTCCTGTAGAATCGTCTAAACCTTCAAACCCAGTTGTCGAGTCTACAAATGGACTATGATAATCTGCAAGCACGCTACGAGGAGGAAGCCGAGGCAGCTGGAAATCTGCGCAACCAAGTCGCCAAATTCAACGCTGATATGGCTGCCCTTAAGACTCGTTTGGAGAGAGAACTCATGGCCAAGACTGAGGAGTTTGAAGAGCTTAAGTAAGTGCCTCTTCATTTTTCTTCCTCTCTTGCCTAACTTTGTACTCACTTTCTTCTGGTAATTGAAAATAGCTTGAAGATAATTTTCAGCGCTACCTCCTTGTAGACGCAAGCTGACTGTTCGCATTACTGAATTGGAGGATATTGCTGAACATGAGCGCACTCGTGCCAACAATCTTGAGAAGACCAAAGTTAAGCTGACAATTGAAATCAAGGATCTACAGGCCGAGAACGAGGCGGTAGGTTTCCATAAAGCCATTTGAAATGGATTGAAATCTTAAAGAAACAATTGCAAAAACCTTAATTCACTAGGTGAATTAAATATAAGCTTACAGGGTTTTTTGCTTTTGACATAGTATAATTGCGCGGTAAGCGTTGCAAGTAGTGTTAGGCTTGAATTGTTTCCTCTTATAAGGCCTCGATTCTATGATTCTAATCTTGCCTACTTTTTTCGACCTGAAAATCCCTCAACAGCTGGCAGCAGAGAATGGAGAGTTGACGCATCGGGCGAAGCAGGCGGAGAATCTGGCCAATGAACTGCAGCGTCGAGTAGACGAGATGACGGTGGAAATCAACACCCTCAACTCGGCCAACAACGCCCTGGAGGGGGACAATATGCGCCTCAAGGGCCAGGTCGGCGACCTCACCGATCGTATTGCCAATCTTGACCGTGAGAATCGCCAACTTGGTGGTACGTTTTGCTCATAAATCGTAATTCTTTGATGGAAATTATGATAGTGAAAAATGCATAACTTTTTGAGATTCCTCTAAATCCATTCCTGTTCACGTTCTCGATCGAAAAAGATCAAGGCAGAGGAGAGAACTCACCCAAAATACTTGTTCAAAGTGTAGACAGGCGAATGGCCAGATCGCATATCCAAGCGTAGAAATGAAGTTATTCTAGTGTTCTCCGTAAAGATCACAGTAATATATTTAGTTTAAAACGAAGATTTAAGGATTGTTGTCCTATTCAGGCATCAAAAAAACCATTGAGGCCACTTAGAGCTTGGGTTGATAATTGTCTCAATATAGAATAACCAAATAACTATCTAGTTTTATACACCTTTTTCCCCTTACAACCGTCTACAGACCAACTGAAGGAGACGAAATCTGCCCTTCGTGATGCGAATCGCCGACTGACCGATCTGGAGGCTCTGCGCAGCCAATTGGAGGCGGAGCGCGACAACCTCGCCTCTGCTCTCCACGACGCCGAGGAGGCATTGAAGGAACTCGAAGTAAAGTACGTCGCCTCGCAGAACGCCCTCAACCACCTCAAGTCCGAGATGGAACAGCGTCTGCGTGAGAAGGATGAGGAATTGGAGAATCTGAGGTCAGTCAGCCTCAAATAATTTACTTTACTGGTATTCAATAAATAGACGTAGGTAAGAGAGTTGTAGTTTGAACTTTACAACGAATTTTGGACTTTTTTGGCTCTTTAAAAAGTTGTTCAGCATTTATGAATATAAGCACGCCAACCGATCCTAAGCCTTAGAAACCAAAAATTGATAATGTGAGTTTGAGTTTTACAATTGAGGTCGTGTGGTGTGCCGTGAATGTTGTAGAAAGAGCACGACTCGCACAATTGAGGAGCTAACCACCACCATCTCAGAGATGGAGGTTCGCTTCAAGTCGGATATGTCTCGTCTGAAGAAGAAGTATGAGGCGACAATCAGCGAGCTGGAGGTGCAACTAGACGTGGCGAACAAGGCGAACGCCAGCCTTAACCGCGAGAACAAAGCCCTGGCCCAACGGGTTCAGGAACTTCAGACTGCTTTGGAGGACGAGCGACGAGCCCGTGAGGCTGCAGAGAGCAACTTGCAGGTAAGCGAGCGCAAGAGAATCGCCCTGACTTCCGAGGTGGAAGAGATTCGCAGCCAACTAGAACTCAGTGACCGCGCTCGCAAGAATGCCGAGTCCGAGCTCAACGATGCCAATGGACGTATCTCGGAGCTCACCATGTCGGTCAACACTCTTACTAATGATAAACGCCGACTCGAAGGTGATATCGGTGTCATGCAAGGCGATCTCGATGAAGCCGTCAATGCGCGCAAGGTATCTCTCATCCTTAGCTATTATGTCATTTGAACTCTTGATAGTAGCTAACCTCAGATGGATCTGTATTCTAAAGGCTGCTGAGGATAGGGCTGACCGCCTGAATGCTGAGGTTCTTCGTCTGGCTGATGAACTGCGACAGGAACAGGAAAATTACAAGCGAGCTGAGACTCTGCGTAAGCAACTTGAGATTGAGATCCGTGAGATCACGGTCAAGTTGGAGGAGGCCGAGGCTTTCGCTACCCGTGAGGGTCGCCGTATGGTTCAAAAGCTCCAGGTTGGATTTCCCCGTCCCGCATCACTTTAAAGCGATGCAAATGATAAATGCCTTTTTTTTCTCTGTAAATATTAGAACCGGGTGAGAGAGCTCGAGGCAGAGCTGGACGGAGAAATTCGTCGTGCCAAAGAGGCCTTTGCCAGCGCACGCAAATATGAGCGGCAATTCAAAGAATTGCAGACACAGAGCGAGGATGATAAGCGCATGATTTTGGAGCTTCAGGACCTGCTAGACAAGACTCAGATCAAGATGAAGGCCTATAAACGTCAGCTTGAGGAACAGGTATAGGGCTTAACCTAGGTTTTAAGGTGTATGAGAGTATAGACTGGTACTAATGCAAGAACTTTATACCTGTGCTATAGGAAGAGGTGTCTCAGTTAACGATGAGCAAGTACCGTAAGGCACAGCAACAGATTGAGGAAGCAGAGCATCGTGCTGACATGGCGGAGAGGACGATCACCATTAAGAGGACCATTGGTGGACCCGGTTCCCGTGCTGTTTCAGTGGTTCGGGAGATAAACAGCGTGTCCCGTGGTAACCGTGCAACCAGTATCATGTAGATGTCCTCAAACGCCAGAACTTGTGACTTCTCCAGCTCTTCATCCAACCCAGCCCCCCTCCCACCCCTACCTCTCCAGACACTTTTCGGTGCTTACATCCGCATACAACAATATACTACTTAAAAGGAGGAGAAGGAGGGGAAAGAAAATGGGACGGAGAGGGAGCATCTCTTGTGCATGCCTTATGCCGTCTCTCTCTACTTTACTCTTCTCAACTCTGCCTCTCCTCCTTTCTTGGTTCAATTTGCGTTTTTCTTCTTACTTCTCTCTCACCTGAAGTGTTCCTGCCGCCACAGATGACTCTAGGGTGTTTTTTCTGCCACTGCTACCACCTAAACAGGAGGCCTCTTGCTTTCGACTGCGCGTTTGCCCCAACTCCTCTCCCTATTTCTGTTCGTGTTTATTTGAACGTCTCTGCTGCCACCACAAACAACTCCTCTGCCACCAACGCTGCCACCACCAGTCTTGAGTTATTATGTTTTATGTACTAGAAATATTTAAAAAAAAAAGTACTGTTCTCCCCTTTGTTTCCACTATGATATGCCATTGGGGCGCGAGTTGTTTGGGTTTCAATGTCTCGCCTCGTAACTGTTTTTACGGAGTAAATGCCCTTATTGTAAGATGGTCAAAAATGTCACTTAATACCGTCAGTGGCTTGGAATATTATTTCTATAATCACCATGGTAGGGAGGTTTATTGTGTATTTTCACTCATTTGATGAAGCGCTGATCCTTGTCTTAATGCAGAAAGCTGTGATTGGCGGAAAGTGGCGGCACTGTCGCGGACTTATTCGTAGTAGCTTTTTCAATGGTGATACCACCGCACCAATTTAATTAAAGTCGCCCGTCCCTTCATTCAATATGTATTTACAGTTGGTGTAAAGTCCCTAATTGAACCTCTTATTTTAAAACTCCAGCGAAATTGATGAACTACCTGATTAACATGCTTGTCAAAAGAATTCCCCAGTATGTCTAAAGTGGCAATCAGTGCTACTGAAGTTGGTTAGTAGCATAAGGCCCACTCAGGAAATAATTGCCAAGCGCCGCTGCTAGAAACGGCCCTTCGACACTTTACTCCACCAACTTCTCATTGACCTCACACACTTTCAAAATGCTCGGCCGTATTCAAGTCTTAGGTTAAATCAAGTGGTCACTGAAGCTTACTACCTTGTGTAAAAAAAACGGGTGTTTTGCTATCGTATTGTCGCCTTTCCTGCCGACCCCCCTCGTGATAGGAAACCTATGCTCCGCCACCGTTTGCTCCTTCCCTAATTGATCATAAGTCTATGAGGATGTACTCTGTCACTTAAAAAATTCAGTAACAGACGCCACTACCCGGAAACCTTCGTATGCTTTGCTTTCGGTTGGAATCACGATGGGATGCGTCTAGCCACACCCTCACTCCAATTCCCACAACTGCAACCTCCCCCCAACGGTCAGGATGATACATTAATAAAATAGTACATTTATTTGAAACCACAGGTATGGGGAAGAGGGGGAGGGAGGCATGATAGAGCGGATGGACATCTGTCAACAGCAAAAGAGCCCAATCAATGCAGAGCGGCCAGCTCTTCAACAACTCGCATCAGGTCATTCACGGTGCAGTCCTTCGTCTCCACGTTCTCGTTAAACTTCGACAGTCCCGCCGTCCCGAAATCCTCCATTGAAGCCTACAGTTTCATTAAAAATAAAAACAGGATTTATCTTACAGGTAAAGATGCGGTTTCAAATTGTCCACTGCATTTCCACGAAAAATCCTACCACTTTCAGCCTAAATTTAGTGCATCCTCATGAATTCGAAAACATTAAAAGGAAACACAGGATAATATTATTTTGGAACAAATTTTCAAAGTTTAGGGGCCCAGGAAAAATAAAGAGGCATTTTAGAAGCCTTCTCACTTACAGGAATTTTCAGTCCCTGAACGACCTTATTCTTATCGTCCAAACTCAGATCAAGAAAGCTCTCAATCAGCTCTCCATCGATGATATTGTGCGCCACTCTAACCGTCCACAGACAATCCTTACAGGAACGCCAGGATTCCTGTGAAAAATTACCCACAGGTACAATTAGTCGGGACAATCGCGACTCCACCTCCTTGAGGAAAGCGAAGAGAATGGGTGAGAGATGCGCCACGAGACCCAAGCATCCCTGCGCCGTGCCGTACATGGTGTGCGTTTCGCCTATTGCTGACCACCTATCCACGCCCAGAGTGTTCATGTTGCCTGTAGAAATGCAAAAAATAAAGAGTGAGAACCCAACATTATTTTTTCCGATTAAAAAGTGAGCATTTACCTCTGACGAAGACGTTGATAGATTCACCAGTATGCATGTAGGCGCAATCCACGAGAGCCTTTCCATCACTTGAAGGGCATCGTGGAAGATCAATAGATTGTGGAGTCGGTGCTTGTAGTGAAACTCCTGGTTGCTCTTCCGAATCTTGTGCCGGCGCTGTTTCTGGCGCTGATGTGCTTGTGCTGGCAGAGCTATTGTCAGCTGCGTCACAAGGGCCAGCAACGTCAGGCGTGTCAGCCATTGGTTTGGGCGTAGAAACAGAGACAGTAACAGGAGTAGGACTGGTGGCGGCCTCTGTGACACGAAGTGACGGAACCACGGGTTCATCGGTATTGCCTGGGAGATTTCGTCCCAACACATGAATATTCCCGTCCGCGTCACCCGAGAGAAAGTGTTCATCGTCGATTATCTCTATTCCACTGGTATACCGCGGGCAATGATGCCTTCCAATCTATGTAGTAACCAAAAATATGCAGTAAGACCAACTGCAGAGCTAATCAAGTTAGATTGACTTTTGATATTAAAGTCCTAAAAAG